TTTCGATACGGAGTCAGTTTAACAGGATTGTATCCTTGGGCGTTGTAAAGTGAAAAGATGAAAGCTTTACTGGCTGAGGAGTAACCACAAGAACCTAAAATGACAAAAACGGATGAAAAGAAACCATGTAGTAAAAACTGTTCTTTAGAAAAGAAAAAGCTACAATTACAACAAGTGTGAAGTGACAAGGGCGTTTTACGTAACGCGTGACACATAAAGCGTGACAAAAGGGAAGGATTAAGCTATTTTTATAATTATGCATACCGTCGTAAAAGCTCTATTTAGCGCCCTATCTATTAAGCCCCCCCCCCCCCCCCCCCCCCCCCCCCCCCCCACTTCTTGGGGCCTGAAATTAAATAAGCCCCCCGGGGGCTTAGCTTTTGTCTACATAAATATCATAAATTACATAAATATCCCTTTAAAAGGCCCTGAACTGTAAATCAACATCAGTCCAAGCTAGTCTTTTGTTTTAATTTCCTCTTGGGTGCCATCAAAACGTTGCGTTAAAAATGTTCAGCGCGCCATGTTTATACGCGTTGAACAATGTTACATTAAAAATAGTCGTTAAAGCTCGTCTCGGGTAACTTAACGCTCCGAAGGCATTAAAATAAGGACAGTTTTAAACAATACTTACTGCTGTACCAAGTCACGTCAGTGTATCCACCAAATATGTAATTGCCGACTTTGATGATTGTCACTGTGGGTCCCTTTCCATCACAGTTGGTGTGGAATGTCGATGCAGCCGAGCCGTCTGTCTTGGCATGCCAACACCTCACAAATCTACTACGCTCTGAGTTAAGGAGGACTGGGTCCAAGTAAGACAGCAGCTGCTCGATGTATTTGTGGTCGAGATCGCCGAGAATAACGGATGCGCCGAGGCCCTGGGGAGGAGATAGGAGATAAAAATAAATAGTAAAAAACACTTAGGCCGATGATTTAAACGAAGACAACGTTTAAGAAAACCGTGGTCTGAACGGAATTTAAACCAACAGTCACACTAGTTATACCATGTCTAACTCACTCTATTTGAACTGTGACTTATCCACGTTGTATTAATACAGTATATCCTCTGCCTAGTCATTATAAGAGAGTCCCGTGTGAATCCCAATTCAGCCTTAAACCAGGTCTAATTTAGACTTTGTTTTATCTATATTTTTCTTTCAGACATAAAACTTTTTACTGCACATTTTGGACGTGACCCGCTGAAACTACAGTGAGTACGTCAGTTATTTTAACACTAGTCTACAGTAACTCAGTAAAACTAACTACAGTAGACAATTGCGTATTGTTCGTTAACACAAACCCTACCGACTACATTCAAGTTAATCTTGAAACAGTGTGGATATGTATCATTTTTGTTCTTTCGGTTGTTTTACTGATGTGATGTTTGATGTTTGCAAAAATCCTTTGTTAAAAGATTGGATATTTTAATTTTCGGATGCATCAATTGTTCCGACGTTTAAATTAATTTTCGGTAGTTGAGAAGGAAGAGAAGGAATGGAAAATTGATTGAGCACGCGGTTCTTGTTTCTTGGTCAGAGGGGTTCCTGACAATGGAGTATGACGTCACAAATGAAGGACTGACGTCATACATTAGCACATAGATAATGCTCTCTCTGATTGGCTGAAACCCGTCTTTCGTTTAATTTTTTCCAATCGCGAAAATCGCGTTCACCATTTTAAAGCCTGGCTTTTTCCGCGCCAAAATCAATCGTTTTAAAATCTACATGGTTACCCCATTTATACACGGCACTCGTAACCGTATCGTTTTGAAAATGCTCAACTTTGGCAGCGTTTTCAAAAGTACACGGTTACACATCGTCGCCGTGTAAACTGAAGGCGTAACCGTATACAAAACGATACGGTTACAAATGAAACCGTTTTCGTGTATCATTCTACACGATAGCCGTCATGATGGCTTTCTTATTATACCGTAAAATTCCAGTTTGAAAAAGCAAACCAGCTGGCGGCCATTTTTATTTGCTACAGTAGACTCCCACTATCTCAAACCCCGGCTATCTCTGATTCGGATTCCCGCTATCTCGAACTGAAACCGGTTTAACTTGGTTTTGCTGACTGTTTTTCAGTCATTTCTATTTCTATCTCATCGAACTCGTGTTATCTCGAATCCCCCGCTATCTCGAACAAAGTGTCACTTCCCATGGCCTAAATTAACACCCCCTATCTCGAACTGCGGTAATTATTATGTTGAATGACCTATAAGAAGAGCGAACTCCGAAGTGCGATAGACGTTCTTTAATAGCTGTTCTTTCATAGTACAGTATGTTTATCGACGACCATACTGAAAAGTTGTGTCGCCGTACACGTCCCTAGCTTAAAGAGAAAAGTTTCACTAATTCAAAGCACCAACTAACCTTAAAATTCATTTTTTCAATTGATCTTCATTTTGACCGCCCGATGGTAGGATATATTCAGTATTCGTTGTACAACTGAAGCCGTTTGCTTTTTTTCTTTTAAAAACACTTGTAGTGGAATAAAAATTGTTACAGTTATACTGGACTTGGTATAAAAGAGACAATGAAGCACGTTTTGTTCGTTGAATGAGAAAAAGAAACACTGACAAACAGTATTTGTTTCTAATATTGTATAAAGGGGCCTGTAGAGCAGACTCTGCAAACACCGATAGGTCGATGATTTGTATACTGACTATACTAGTTCAGTTTTGTGGTGACACCACCCTCGCTATCTCGAAGCCCCGATATCTTAGCCTCCTACGCATGACTTCCTTTGGGCTCGTCACGCAATCCCCAAAGAAAGTCTGCGTAGGAGGCTATCGCTATCTCGAACAATTTTCCCGGTTCCCCTTGAGAGTTCGAGATAGCGGAAGTCTACTGTATTTCAAAATTGGCACCTCTTCGATTTTTCTGTAGCAATTTGTCGTATTGCAATCTATAATTCAGTTTCGCACATGTATTTCGTCGTTAGCCAATCAGAATCTAGAAAGTTGGTCGAGTATCATCATATGTTGTATTATTTAGTTACCTATTTGGTAGAATACTTCGATGTCAGTTGGAGTAAAATATTTGCCTCCAGTGAAAAACCTACAGTCACCAGTTGAGTAGCCCGGGGATTGGAGTACGTGGCGCCGCATTTGGTGTAAGAGGCTTGGTTGTTGATAGCGTCGTTCGATATGAAGATATCATGCCCGTCACCAAACCTGGGTCCGTGCGAGTTGCACATGAACATTGCGTGTCCCTGATTTTGATACTGAGCCAGCTTAACAGGATTGTATCCTTTGGCGTTGTAAAACGAGAACAGGAACGCTTTGGGAGCCGAGGACCAAGTGCAAGAGCCTAAAATGAAAACAACAGCACAAAACAGCTTGTAAATAGCAACATGTCTCCAGGCGCTTATTGGGATTTTCAACATGAGAGCGACCGGGAACGCGGGAAGGAAGGCGTTACAGAGAGCACAAAGGATCACGGAAAGACCCATATTCCCTGCGCCTCCGAAAACTCCCACGTAGACCCAGGCGCTTCTCTTTCATACGCGGGAGCTTTCGGGTACGAGGCAGAATATCAACAAAATACAAAGAGAAACTGTGTGGTAAAAAGTTCATCAAAACGAAAAAACTACAACAACAACAACAACAACGTCTGCGGCAAGAGGATTGAAAAGGAGTTTTGCGTTACGCGTGATTTGAGCAAACATGATAGCTTGATACGTGGAAGGAATTAAAGCTTTATATGAAACGATTAACGTGATGCGTGAATTTGCAAATTATATCAGTGCGTGAAATGGGATCGTGACGTTCTTGCTGTGTGATTATCGTTTCTATACTGGGGAGCATTCACAAAAACTTGTTGGGGGTGGGGGACTGATGAGAAAAGGGGGGGGGGGGGTGTCCGAAAAGTTTTAGGTTTCAAAGGGGGGGGGGGGGGTCGGAAAAATAAAACACTTGTCAAGGGGGGTACTTGAAAATATAAAGGGGTACTTGAAAATAAAAATAAGCAACAAACAACTTGCCAACAGTGAAACCTTTGATTGTTCGAATAATGTGCTATTAAACAAAACTGAAACACTATGACAAACAATAATAATTATTGTTTGTCATAGTATCATTATCATTAATATTAATTCTGTTTTTACAATAATAATATAAACTGTATTTAACATTTTGTATGCAAAATTATGTATCACGTACATGTATGTACATGTATCATCTTCATGTTTGTCAAAATCAATATTAATTAAATTAAGTTAATAATAGTTAAGTTTATAAAACATTTTAATGTCAAATTAATATATAAGCTGCAACATTTTATATAAAAAAGGAAAACAAACTGTCTATTAAATAAAACATTACAAAGATCACTGTGTGAATGACCCATGCAGTGGCCGATCCAGACCAGTTTTTAACAAAATTCACACTGGTTCACGAGGCCCATAAAAGATGTCTGTTAGATACTTACTGTTGTACCAAGACACATCTGTGTATCCACCAAATATGTAACTGCCGACTTTGATGATTGTCACTGTGGGTCCCTTTCTATCACAGTTGGTGTGGAATGTGGATCCAGCCCAGCCGTCTGTCTTGGCATGCCAGCACCTCACAAAGTCGCTACGGAATGCATTTGGAAGGACTGGATCTAGATAAGAAATCAGCTTTCCCAAGTATTTGCTGGGGTCGAGGCTACCAAGAATAACGGATACACCGAGTCCCCCTGGGTAAGCGAGGAAAAACGTAAAAAGTAAAACACAGTGAAGCTTTCACTATACTAGCCTGTGAAAAGGCCGCTATAAAGTGGGATACAGAGTGAAAAGAAAATCGGCGAGCAAACCACCTACACCCAAATTAGGAGCCTGTTTACAGGCTATCACTATACCAAAACGGTCACCTCCATATAACGGCCACCTCTCTGCAGAGGCTTACTCGCCCCATTCACCTACATCGGCCATCATAACCGTCCAACCAACCAGACAAACGAAACGCCCTGGGAACTACCTTAAGATATGGCCTAAGCTCCCACGAGTCTCCCGTCAGTAACTCAGTGGTAGAGCGTCCGACTGGTGTGCAAAAGGTCATAAGTTCGATTCCTGTTAGGGAAACGTTTCCACGTTAGTAGCTTGTGTCTGACTGAATCAGACTGATATCTTTCTCAGATTTGGATTGGTTCAAGTCGTTTCAAGCGACGACTGATTCCCACCTTTTTTTAAATTAAATTCCTCCTTCAAACGGTGGCGAACAATTTATCTTTTTCACAAAAGAGTGGAATTCAAGCTTGCAGTTTTGTTCACCGAGCCGATTTAAAGGTTATTACTCAGTGTTGTGGGAGACGCGGTGGCCTAATGGTTAGCGCGTTGGACTCCGGATCGAGCGGTCCGGGATCGAGCGCGCGCTGGCCGGGGTCCCAGTGTTGTGTTCTTGGGCAAGACACTTTACTCTCGCAGTGCCTCTCTCCACCCAGAAGTAAACTGCTACCGGCGAACTGTTAGAACTGTTAGGGCAACCTGACAAAAATGCTGAGAGGTTACCTGCGATGGACTAGCACCCCACCCAGGGGCAATCTCGACCCCAGAGCTCTACTCTTTTGCGTAGTCAAGAAAAGCAGCGAAGGTCTGGGGTCGAGAATGACCCAGGGGGAGTAGCAATACTACTATCCGTTTCACGCTACGGAAACTGGTCAGCTCAGGCAGTTGTGGGCCATTCAGTCCCAGTCGTAAATACGTTACGTTACTCTTTTTAAATATTTATTTCAGATTTCATGTGTTCCAGTATTTAGTTACCTATTTCGTAGAATACTTCGATGTCAGTTGGAGTAAAATGAAAGGTTCCAGTGAAAAACCTACAGTCACCAGTTGAGTAGCCCGGGGATTGGAGTATGTGTGGCCGCATTTGGTGTAAGAGTGTTGGTTGTTCATAGCGTCGTTCGATATGTAGATTTCATGCCCGTTACCAAAAGTGGGTCCGTACGTGTTACACCTGTACATTGCGTATTGCGGAGTTTGATACTGAGTCAGCTTAACAGGATTGTACCCATGGACGTTGTAAAGAGAGAACAGGAAAGCTTTACTGGCTGGGTAGTAACTGCAAGAACCTAAAATCAAAACAACAGCACAAAACACATTATTTTAAACATGAGTTTAAAAAGTTAGTTAAAAAAACAACGACTAAAAAGACAAAAAAGAGCAGTTATTTTAACTTACTGCTGTACCAAGACACATCAGTGTATCCACCAAATATGTAATCGCCGACTTTGATGATTGTCACTGTGGGTCCCTTTCCATCACAGTTGGTGTGGAATGTCGATGCAGCCGAGCCGTCTGTCTTGCCATGCCAACACCTCACAAATTCACTATGAGATGCACTCGGGATGACTGGGTCTAAATAGGACATCAGCTTTCCCAAGTATTTGCTGTGGTCGAGGCTGCCAAGAATAACGGATGCACCTAGGTCTCCTGGCCGGGTAAACAAGAAAAAAAAAGGTGAAAAGAAATATAACGTATAATTCGGATAATAAGACCCCCCCCCCCCCCCCCCCACCCCAAAAATAAGCCCCCAAATTTAATCTCAAACGAAATATTATCCTTCCGAAAATATTTCCCCTTCCCCTGAGTATAAGTCCCGGGTTTATATTTAGATCTTGCAATTAATTGTAGATAAAAAAAATTAATGAAAGATACAACTCCTTCCTATTATAAGCAACCTATTGTAGAGCTCGTTTTGTATATGTCGTTACAGTATGCTCACAGACTTGTGACGTTCTGATGTTTTGTGTTTAATTTCGTTATGTAAGAGGGCTTTTCTATGCTTTATTCTTGTATGCACCTTAAATTTTTCAGACACAAAATTCCTTCCACGTATCGGGTAGCATGAAATTTTTGCTTGAGTTTTATTTTGCGGATTGGTGATTTTGGGGAACAAATTTTTGCGGTTCGAGAGACGTCACTGAGATTCGACCCGAAAAATTCCACATTGATGACGTAGCTCTTACATATAGATCCATATAGTGTCTGTGGCAAGGCACCAAACGAGGGAATTTAAGCAAAATACCTGTCTTTCGGGTTATTTATCAATGCAAACTAACATAGTTTGATCTGTTCGGATTCTTCAGCTGAATATTTAAAAAACTGATGACCGAAATTTTTAGGGGGAAAAATATTTTAACCCGTATTCATGAGCTTCTGTTGCCTTTCCGAAATTCTTAGCTGGCTTTTTTTGGCAACCAAAAACGATTCGTTGGGTGACCTTTGACCTCAAGCAGTTCAATGGATTTCACTGTACAGATGAACCTCCGCTAACGGACTCCTCTCATAAGCGGACCCTTAGTCATGTTCCCAACTACATATGAACACTAAATTTTTAACCCAGTTTTTAACCTCCCTTAAAGGAGCTACGTCACGGACGGCACATCCTGAAAAAAATTGCCAATTTTTTCAAGTTCATCGTTCGCAATCTGTCTTAATCTTCTCCATCCTCAACCATCCTTGTTCCTGTTTGGTTTATTATTACATCTGTGGTGTTTTTCTACCTTAGTAAACTATTATTTTGAGGCTTTCTTCAGTTTGAAGGTGATTTTGCACTTTCGAAAAAATGACTTAAAATATCGTGACATAGCTCCTTTAAGCAGACACCTCTTTTAAGCGAACACTTTTTATTGTCCTAAGGGTTTCCGCTTACGGGAGGTTTGGCTGTTATTTATGTGTGATATACAGGTAATCTTAGGGGGCCGAGTCAAATTAAGTATTTTAATATTGTCCTGGTCGCGTAGCGACGAGGGCAATTACATATAAACTGGTCAATCAGCAACTTATGATTATGGAAATATGCGATTGTTGAATTTAATAGCATAGAGGGCAAAATCACTTTATAAAGACATCGGGTAGTCGGGCCGGGAGATATCGTAAATATTTGCTGACCTTCCGATAACATTCGAAAATCACCTGAAGTCCTCGGGTGATCTAAGGAAATCTTCAGGTCATCTTCGGCAATCTTCGGAAGCCTTCAGGTTATCGTCGGAAATCGTCAAAAGTCTTCGGGTCAACTTTGAAACATTCGGGGTCTTTGGACGATCTTCGGGAATCTTTGGAATAATTTTGCCTTCGATGAATAGAGATTAACGAAAAATGCCCTCTGTCTAAACCAATCAGAATTCAGTAATTTTTTAGTAATAGTTCCAGTATTTAGTTACCTATTTCGTAGAATACTTCGATGTCATCAGGAGTAAATTGGTAGCCTCCAGTGAAAAACCTACAGTCACCAGTTGAGTAGCCCGGGGGATTGGAGTACGTGGAGCCGCATTTGGTGTAAGAATTTTAGTTGTTGATTGCGTCGTTCGGTATGTAGATATCATGCCCGTTACCAGCACCAAAAATGGGTCCGTACGAGTTACACCTGTACATTGCGTATTGCTGATTTCGATATTGAGTCAGCTTAACAGGATTGTATCCTTTGGCGTTGTAAAACGAGAAGATGAAAGCTTTACTAGCTGAGGACCAACGGCAAGGACCTAAAATGAAAACCAGAATAAAACACCTTGTAAACATTAGCGGTTTAAATAGCTTAAAGGAGCTATGTTGGGATTACTTTGGCGAAAAAAAAAAACTTTCTTCAAACAAATTAAAGTTGATTATTCGATCTATTAAAACTTTCCCCAAAAATTGTTTAAAATGCCTATACACACTTTGAGAGAGCAGTTTTCAATTAATTTTACTTTACTACGGTTCATGATAGATTAAAATCGCTCCACTTACTCAACCAAGATGCCAAAACCAAAACCAATCGCGACTTGGTCACGCGCGTTAATTTTTCCGCGCTTGGAGCCGGCGGTTACGTATTTTCTTTGAGTTCTCATTCGTTCATTGTGTTTGTTTACGTTTGTTGTGATTCACCATTGTAATTGCTTTGGTTTTACTACACTCAATTGAAAACCGCTCTATTTTGCATCCGCGATCAAAATCGATACCCGATTAATTGTAATTCTACAACCTTTTATTGATAAATAGTTTGTGTTGGTTTCCTTAATTAAAAACTGCTTTAGGCTGGGTAGATTAAGGAAGATCTACATTTTTCCCATAACAAAAGACAAAAACAGATAAATAAAAATTGGAAAAAAATCTCTGATAGATTTTAGTCATTAAAATCATAGATATACCTAACTAACACTGAAGCGGTTGTTTTTGCTTACTTTTAACCCAAGACACATCAGTGTATCCACCAAATATGTAACTTCCGTTTTTGATGATTGTCACTGTGGGTCCCTTTCCATCACAGTTGGTGTGGAATGTCGATGAAGCCGAGCCGTCTGTCTTGGCATGCCAACACCTCACAAACCCACTGCGCTCTGAGTTAAGGAGGACTGGTTCTAAATATGAAATCAGCTTCTCCGAGTAATTTTTGTGATCGAGGCGCCAAGAATAACGGATGCACCGAGTCCCCCTGTGTAAGCGAGACAAAAAGCGAGCGTTTAAACTACAGTTCAGGTGTAACCACTCGAGGCCGCTATAATATTTTGTTGCATGACGGCATAGTCTAAAACCAGGACTGGAGTCTGGAGTCTGGAGTCTGGAGTCTGGAGTCTGGAGTCTGGACTATGGACTCTGGACTCCAAAAAAAAAATAATAATAAAAAATAAAAATAAAATAAATATCACACAAATATCCATATCACATCGATCACCAGCAGCAACTGCGGCCAGTTTTCTAAACCAAGTGTTATCACTGCTGTCACTGCTTACTTTTCATGACTTCCTCTTCATGGCATAACTCTGTCTACTGATGTGAAGGCAAGATCTGGCATCTTGGTTTTCGCGAGATGCCAATGGCCCTAATAATTTTCCCAATTAGATTCATGGACAAATTTAAAATTTCTTTAAACGAAGTGTGGTCTCCAACATTTATAAATTTGTTCAAATAATGAATTCAATGAGTTATATATTATTTCCCCGGTATTTCCGCAATGGCGGCAGAGTCTCTGCGAAAACTGCTATCTGGCGGCGTTTTAGCTAATCAGCTAATTATCACTCGGGCAATTCCTTTAAACAAATACTGTAATTTCACATGGAAAAAAACACGTTTTCATTCCATAAGAAGCTATACGTTTCGGCTACAC